GACCTCTCACAGAAGTTTTCTATTTCTTCTCACACAACCTCAGGAGATGGGTCCACCAAGGCCACACCCACCTCTTCCTCTGGGAATCTGTCCCCCCAGGACGCCACTCACCAGGAGGCTGGAACTGGCTGGCCCGGCCACTCGTGCCTGGCCCAGGTGGGCAGAGTGGATTCTGTCCTTCAGGAAACCGAACTGAGCCCCGATGCCGGGGCTGGGCCCGGGGTGAGCTCACAGGAGAGCACGGGGTCATTCCAGATGCTGGCAGCTGGGGGCCCTAAGGAGCTTCCCACCACTTGGGGTGCTCAGCCAGCTCTTGGAGCCACTGAGACACCTCAGGAAATGCCACGGTTTGTCCACCTGACACAGGGGCTGGACCCCTCAATGCTCTGTGTGGACGCCCTGTGCATCATGGGATGTTTCCCAGCATCCTGGCCTCCGCCCGCTAGAGGCCAGTAGCACTCGACCCCCAGTTGTGACCGTCCAAAGTGTCCCCAGACACTGCCAGTGTCCCCTGGGGCAGAATCGCCCGAGCTGAGAAGCACTGGCTTAAACCAGGCGGAGTGGCTGCTGGGGAAGGCTTTTCCTCACCTCGGAAGCGAGGGGTGCCTGCCCTGCGGGGCTCTTACGTGACCTGATTCCACAGCAGTGTCAGTGGGCTGGTGTCAGGGAGACAGAGTCTGCACAGCTGACCGCTCTATAAAAGTGGGGTGATCCAAAGGGAACCCCCTGGATGAGCAGGGAGTGGTTTAGGACATGGGGTATCCTCTCCTGGAAGTTATTTATTTAAAGTCCACAAAGGAAACTTAACACTTCTGACCTTCAGTTCAAGGTCGCAACCATCTAGTGACCTATCTATCTATTTATTTATTTATTTATTTATTTACGTATTTATTTATTTATTTGTTTTGGTTAATCCTCACCTGAGGATTTTCTTCCATTGATTTTTAGATAGAGTGAAGGAGGGAGGGAGGGAGAGAGAGAAACATCGATGTGAGAGAGACACATCAACTACTTGCCTCCTGCACAAGCCCAACTGGGGCTGGGGATTGAACCTGCAACCCAGGTACATGCCTGTGACCGGGAATCGAACCCACAACCCTTCGGTGTGCAGGCCGACGCTCTAACCACTGAGCAAAGCGGCCAGGGCTACCTAGCGATTTCTTTAGATCTAGTTGGAGCCACAACAAGAAATCAAACAACTCAATTAAAAGATGGGCCAAAGATCCGAACAGTCATTGCACCGAAGATACACAGAGAGCACGCAGCACTTGAAGGGATACCGCACGGCGTGTCACTAAGGAACGCGAAACTAAAACCACTCTTAAAACATATTTACACACACACAAAATAGGCAGTCAGGAACTAGGCATTTCCTTGATGCTTTCTCCCCACAGTAAAGGAGGGAGATAGTTGGCCCTGGTGGCTTCGGCTCCCCGCGGTTCTGCACTGGGCACAGGTGTCTGGGCACACAGGGGGCCTCTCGTGGCGCATGCGTGAAGTGGACTCGCTCGGCCCCTCCCTCCAGGGTTTCACTGGCCTCAGAGCTGGCCTCACCCCTTGAAGGATTTTACACAGCAGCTGGGCATCCCTGGGGCTCCCCCTCATCCGCCTTCTGGCCAGTTGACCTATGGGGGCTCTCGTCGCGTGGGGAGCTGTCCTCTGCACCTGCTCTGCTGAGCCCCAGAGAAACCGACCCGAAGTCCCCAGGCCTCCTACGGGGAGCTGGGGGTTTCTCTTTCAAGCATTCCTTGCACTCTTCCCGATGCCCACAGTCAGTCACGGTTCTGCTTTCTGAGCTGGGCCACCACATGACACAACGTGGTCCCTCCCTAGAACACGGGCCTTCGTCACACCACGAATTCACCCACGGACACCTCCTGCATCGGTCGGTTCCTCCAAACACCAGTGCAGAACTTTCCTAAAACGATCGCCCCTGGAAGAGGGCAGGACGGTCGACGTGCCTTGTCAACACCAGGGCTCTGCCAGCCGGAGCTGCCAGCTGGCTCTGCGGATCAAAATCTCTAACTTCTGGGTAACGCTGTCCCCCACGTCCCTACGGGGGCCTCACCTCCACCCACGCTCCTGAACGGTCAACTTTCTAACAAAGGAAACGAAACCCAACGTGCAGCTGGCAGGGCCCGGCGCCCTCGAGCACCTCTTCCTGATCACAGCTGTAGGCAGATAGGCGCCGTCCCACGGGGGCCCCGGAGGGGCGTGGGTGGCACGGAGGGCGGCAGGCCTGTAGGAAAGCTGGCGACCCTCAGTCAGCCAGGACCCCGTTACCAGGTCCTCACACCTCGCTCTGCTTAGGACTCCTTCCCCTCTTCCTAAAGACCAAACGGAAGCCACTGAGTCCACGTCCAGCCCCCCTCTCCAATTCCTGTGTCGGAACCCATCTATGGTTTTCGGCCTTAGGTTTCCTTGGGGGACCCCTAAGTGTGCCAGGCACCCAACCTGGAGAACCGAGGCAGGGGATCCAGCTGACACAAAAGCTACAACGGCAGAGCCACAAGCGTCTGGCTGCTTCTGCTGTGCCCGTGGCCGCTCTGCTCGTGGCCGATGCTCGGATTCCCGGGGACACACTAGCCATCGCAGCAAGGAAGGCAGCATTTCCCCGGCCCATGACGTCGGGCTCCTGCTCCTCCTATTCCGAGAGCTAGTGTCACCTAGAACAGGCGCAATAGTCCAGAACGTTCCGCGTCCTTGCTCTTCTGTGGATGAGGTCCTTCCGCTTCCCTCCGGTCTCACGCACACATCGCCCGTGTGTTGGCTTCCCCGGGCACTCGGCTGCGTGGTTACCTCTCTCTGTGGGGCCTGTTATCATAGTCCTGTCGGTCTGTTTAATGTCTTGGGTTCCACCACAGCAAGAGTCTCGTCTACCTTTCTTCCCAAGGTCCCCCAGCAGGCTCTGCCCGCGCCTTGGGACAGTCACTTACGTCTGCCATTGCTGTCAGGTGTACAGAGGAACTGAAATGACTCGGTGAGGGCCACAACGACTGTGAGTGAGGGCGCCCAACACGGGCGGCGGGAGTGGCAAAGAGAAAGTTTGACTGACATTTATCAGCTCCCTTAGGAGGCATGACTTCAGAGAGATTAACACAGGCCATTGGGTCCTTAAATGTCAGGCTTAAGAGAACAGTAGCCAATTTGCTCAAGAGGAGACAGCTAGACGTGACAAGGCCCTGACCTCCGGGAACCGAATAACCTAATTTGTTAAAAGCATCCCTGGTAGGAAATGTGCCTCCCAAGTCCCTATTTGGGGGGACTGCTTGGGGATACACACGTCCCCAGAGGGCAATATGTCATAAGCATCCCTCAGAATACACAGTGGGGGGGGGATGGGTACACTTGTCCCCACGTGTACATGTCCCTGCGGTACAGGGACCCAGGGAGTCCGCCCATGGGGGAGGTGCTAGAGACCTCCCAGGAGGTAAGGTGGTCTCAGGGGGATGAAGGAAACCCCTCCGCACACCCTACCTCGCAGTCCTTTCCCTCCCCCCTGCCTGAGGCCAGCCCCTGGGGCTTCCCTCCGCCCTTCCCTCTGCAAGCAGTCACCCACAGTCACAGCACCCATGGGGAGTCAGTCCAGGGGAAGACGCTCGCCCACACAAAGGGAAGTGCAGGCCAGCCCTAGGAGAGACCCGAGGACAGCAGCGTATTTAAAGCACACCCACGAGGTGCCAGGGGTGACATCCCTAGTAACTCTAAGAACCTGTAGGAGGAGGTAGGTAGTTTTTAGAATCATTTCCATGGGCACACAGAGTAAAAACTGGGGGGCCTCTGTGGTCCCTGCTTACAAGATCCCGCGGTCTCTGGCCCATCCTCTCTGCACCCCTTCTCCCCCCACACCTCCACCCCCAACTCCGACCTCCAACCCGGTCCAGAGCAGGGACACCAGCGGGCCAGCCAGACTAAGTGTCCAGTGACTGCGGGTGGAATGGGGTCACAGCACAGGGACACATGGAGGCGCCGCCCGCTGCCCTTGACCGGCGCTCAATAAATGACCATAGCGGAGCTGGGCACGCGGCTGGGCAGGGGGCTGGGCAGGGGCTGGGCGCGGGGCTGGGCAGGGGGCTGGGCAGGGGGCTGGGCAGGGGCTGGGCGCGGGGCTGGGCAGGGGCCTGGGCGCGGGGCTGGGCAGGGGCTGGGCAGGGGGCTGGGCGCGGGGCTGGGCAGGGGCTGGGCAGGGGCTGGGCAGGGGGCTGGGCAGGGGCCTGGGCAGGGGCCTGGGCGCGGGGCTGGGCAGGGGCCTGGGCGCGGGGCTGGGCAGGGCCTGGGCGCGGGGCTGGGCAGGGGGCTGGGCGCGGGGCTGGGCAGGGGCCGGGCGCGGGGCTGGGCAGGGGCCTGGGCAGGGGCTGGGCAGGGGCCGGGCGCGGGGCTGGGCAGGGGCCTGGGCAGGGGCTGGGCAGGGGGCTGGGCAGGGGGCTGGGCAGGGGCTGGGCAGGGGCTGGGCGCGGGGCTGGGCAGGGGCTGGGCAGGGGGCTGGGCAGGGGCTGGGCGCGGGGCTGGGCAGGGGCTGGGCAGGGGGCTGGGCAGGGGCTGGGCAGGGGCTGGGCAGGGGGCTGGGCAGGGGGCTGGGCAGGGGCTGGGCGCGGGGCTGGGCAGGGGCTGGGCAGGGGCCGCGCGCCCGCCGGGCTGCGCCTGGGCCCGGCTCCCTGACGCTAGCTCCAAGCCTGCCCTCAGCAGCGCTAACCACGCGGGAGCGGCCTGGCTCGCGGCGAGGTGAAGCGGTTTAAAGGTCCCGGGAGGAGGAAGGAGCCAGGGTACGGCCTGCACCAAAGGTCGCGGCTGCGCGCCACGCCAGCCTGGCCGGCGGTCCCGGTGGGGGTCGGGGGCGCGCGCGCGGTCCCGGTGGGGGTCGGGGGCGCGCGCGCGGTCCCGGTGGGGGTCGGGGGCGCGCGCAGGGACCGCGGTCGCCGCGGGACGTGGCGGCGCGAGCAGGGACGCGTGGTCCCGGCGGGGCGCAGGCGCAGCTGGAGGCCCGCGGAGGGCGCACTCACCCTCCCGGGCCTTCTTCTTCCTCGCCAGCGTGCCGCCCAGCTTGCCCAGGAAAGACTCCTCCTTCTTCATGCCGGCGGGCCGCCGCGGGGACGAGCGCAACGGCACAGAGGACATGGGCCGCGGGCGCAGCGTGTCGGGAGCCGCCTGGTCGTGGCCCCGCCGCTGCCCGCGTGCCCTGGGGAGTGGCCGGAGGGCGCGGCCCCAACGCCGGCGCCCGCCCCGCCCCGCCCCGCCCCCGGCCCCGCGGCCAGCGGGCCGCCTGGACCGGCTACGTGGTCACGGCTTCCAGCCCGCGAGGACCAGCTGTCCGCGCGTCACTCCCGCCCCGAGGAGCGAAGGGGCGGGGCGGCTCTTCGGGCCGGAGCTGAGGCGGACCCCTGGGGCTCCCTCTGCATCCTTCTGTTCTCGGGCCTGAGCCCGGGGTTTGGCGGGCTCTGCTGATGCTGACCGGGCTCCCGCGGGGAGAGGGGCGGCTGGGCCTTCGCGCGGCCCACGTGCATCGAGTAACCCACAAATAGGTCATTTCACCTGCTGGGCTCCACCCAGAACCAGCCCCGGGGCTGGAGGAACCCCTGTGAACCGTCCTCATCCGCGGGGAGCAGGGGGCTGTTTCCCGAGGACATGACGCAGCCACAGGAAACGGAGCCGACAGGGCACCGAGGGCAGGGCGTGTTCAGGCCCCGGGAGGGGCAGGACCAGAGGGGACAGGGGAGAAGGGGGCAAGGCAGGCCTGGAAAGTGCTAGAAGCTGGGGAGGGATTTTAAGATGTGAGGTGACATGATCCCATCTGGGTCCAAAGTTAAGTCTCTGATGTGTGGGTGGCGGGTGGAGGAGTCAAAGCCAGGCCCAGGGTGACTGCTTAGGGGAGAAGTAAGCAGATTCCAGGGGACCCTCCCAGGTCGGAGCCCCAGACTGGAAGGAGTGGGGAGAGCTAAGGCTGGTTCTTGCTGGGCCCAGGCTGAGGGGTGGGTCACCCCAGACAGGGGCCCTGAGGAGGCCTGCCCTCCCACGGTGGGGGTGGGGGTCTGGTCCCGCGGTGAGGTTTCCATCCCCCTTCTGCTGGCTCTGCCTCGCCGCACCTGGCGACACCATGAAAGCGTTTCTCCAGCGGACACCCACGTGCTGACAACTGCCCACCTAGTCCCAGCAGGCCTGCAAACAAGAGACTCGGCTGAAAGGGGGCCTGGGCCTCCCCCGATGGTAGGGTTCCTGGAATTGTGTAGACATCATTCATATAAAAAGCACAATCATATCTTAACTGCAAGCGTGGTACTTGTTGCTAAGAAAACCATACGGTGGTGAGGAATGAAATGCAAAGCAAGTAAGGTGGAGACCTCCCATTAGCCTTCTGGATAAGGCTCCTCTGCCCCACCCCCGCCCCAGGGCGAGAGCCACCTCTGAGCCTGAGCCAAAAGCTCACTTCTTGTTCAATGCAGCTTGGAAGGCTTTTGTTTTGTTTTAATTATTGTGTTGGGTGGAATGGCTTTGTTTTGTCTCCTGTGTGCTGCAGAGAACAATCAAAAACGGACTTGAGGGTCGGGGCTTCGTTTCTGTTTTTTTCTGGGTTCGAGGAAGGAGTAACAAAAGACCTCAACCCCCAACTTCCCCTGCTTCCCATCCCGCCCCTGGGGAACTCACTGGCATTCTCCTGGGGTCTCCTCCACCGGAAGGACTTCCTAAGCTGCGTTTCAGAGCAGTGAGCCTGAGCATGCGCTGGAAGTTCGGGAAGTGTTGGGGCATTTTTTGTTGTTTTTTATTCTCACCCGAGGATTTTTTTCTCTTTTTTTTTTTTTTTCATTTATCTTCAGATAGAGCAGGAGAGAGGGAGGGAGGAGGAGAAAGAGATAGAAACATCGATGTGAGAGAGACACATCGAGTGGCTGCCCCCCACATGACCCCAACCGGGGCTGGGGACAAACTGCAACCGAGGTGCATGCCCTTAGCGGGAACCAAACCCGGGTCTCTCTGGACCGCAGACCGACGCTCTAACCGCTGAGCCAAACTGGCCAGGGCGAAAGTGTGTTTTTAATAGAAAAGAGGATTTAACGAGAAGCAGAAATATGCCCCAGCAGCTCCGTCTTCCAAGTCTTAGCACGATACCCGCGCCTAGTGCGCCATGTTCTACATGTGGAGCACGATTATGAAAATCAGACCACGGGCAGCGGCCCTGCTGAAAGAAATCCATGTTGCTTCCTTTTGAACGGAGGCCCCTTCCCTGCAGGCTCGGTGGAGGACGAGGAGCAAACATTCCGTGAGCATGTGCGGGGCCCCACACACGTGACCCGGGGCAGCCCGTCCCTCGTTCCTGCTGCCTTCCCCATGAATGGACAGGCACTGGGCAGTGCTGAGGGACGGGACGGGCTCGAACCCGTCAGCTGAGGCTGAGCAAACAAACAGCCCTAAGAGCAGTGAGCCAGGACACCCCAGCTGGCAAATCCGAACAGTGCGATACGATGAGCAGCCCGAACGTGTCTCGAAACCATGGTGAGCGAGAGAGGCCGGACGGCACGCTGGGTGGATTCACTTGTTTGCAGTTCAAGAACAGGACGCCTCTCTTCTATGTTGACAGTGGTCACCCTGCAGGGAGCGGCAACCCTGAGTGACGCCCAGGTTTTCGTCGCGGTGGGAGGCACCGTCTGAGTGCGCGTCCTCGAACTGCGCGCCCACGAGTCCTGCTGCTGCCTACCAGTGAAACCTCCGAAAAGTCCCGGGGGAAAGAAAGTAAGTGAATGACACCCGTAGGCAGGAGAATTGGAGGTCTCTACCTTACTTGCTTTGGGTTTCATTCCTTATGAACTTGTCTCTTAAATACTGCAACGGTCCCCTCCCTGCCCATTCGCATAACGGAAAAGAAGTGATATATTGAAAAAACCTGATGAGAGCGGGGAACTCTTGGGGAGAGCGAAGGGAACTCGTTAGAGGGAGAGCCGGGCTGTGAAATGCTTTCTGCTGCTGCTCATTTCCAAACCAGCCGGCAATTTGGGGAGCGCGAGGTGTGCGGGAGAAGATGGAACGCTTCATTGGTTCAGTGATGGAGAAAATGCCAAACTTCCCCAGGTGAAGTTCAGCGGGTCCTTCTGCTCTCGGGCAGCGTCTCCAGGCTGTAATTACAGCCTCTGAGGTGGCCTTTTGAACCGCGCCGTTTAACCTGCTTGCTAATTTAGCGATCTGGCAAGAGGGCAACCTGTGATTTCCGCTGGGAACACGGGGAGCGTGACAAGATGACCAGCCTTGACTGGAATTTTAAAACTGAGCTGGTAACACTTTCCCCCCACATGAGCCGAGCATGAATATCTAACTGCAGTGAGAGGCGGCTGGCCTCTCACTCCAGTGATTTCGGAGACATCAGCAAACTTGGAGACAAAGGAAGTTGGGTTTGCATTTGGTAACAACTCCTCTGAGTTTTGTATTTGCATAGTAGGCAGATTAAACTACATACGCACTTTGTTCCCCTAAGTATTTCACAGATGAGGAATGAATGAAAACTTGGCACCGGGTAATTGGTCCTGGTCGTCTATGGAGAATTGGGAAGGCCCCCTAAAAGAGTATGCGTTCTGAGAGCAAATTCCTTAAAAAAACATGAGTACATGTCGTGTGGGTGAAAGAATGAAGGTAGGCCTATTAGACAGTAACACTTTAGTCTGAATTTCTTTCACCATTCATTTGCCATATGTGTATCACCTGCCTGCAAAAATAAAAGGCTTTGCTTTCCTCCTTCTACCGAACTTGGGAGCAGTAAGGAAATGAGAGCTGTGCTTTGGGTGGAGGGGAGAGCGACGGGGGGGGGGGGGGGGGGGGGGGGGGGCACGGGCACTTTGGGACAGTGAGCTTGCTCCAGGCTGCTGGATGGAACCGGAGACGTGGCCACCCCAGCACCTCGTAAGAACATGACCGGGGCCAGGGGTCTGGGGCAGGGGTCTGTGAGGAGTCAGGCAGTGACTGTTTTTCTCCGTGGGCCATCAGGCTGCCCCAGCCCCTCAGCTTTGCTGACATAAGCAAACCAGCGTGGCAGTGTTCCCGTAAAACTTTATTTCTGCGCTCAGAAATGTAGATTTCCTATCCTTTTCACATGTTGTGAGATAGTCTCCTTTAGACTGTTTTCTTCAAAAACACTTAAAATGTAAATTCATTTTTAGCTCACGGGCCGTGCAAAACCAGACGCTGGCCCAGACTTGGGAGCGGACCGTTCCGAGACGGAATTTCCCTCACGGCACATTTGTGCCTAAAAACCCTGTTAGTGGTAATGATGATGGTACCACTAAAAAAAAACAAACAAAAAAAAAAAAACGATGTTTAAAAGAGGAGAGTGATTCCAGTCCTGAGTGTTGGACTCTGAGGGAGTGGACAGAAGCTGCCCTTAGAAATACTAACACGACACGTCCTGAAGCGGCCGGTCACAGTTCCACGCCAGTGATCTGTTCCATGAAACTGTCTGCCCTGTGGTACGAGGCAGGAGGAGCTCGGCGCGCTGGCCTTTGGGGAAACGAAGAGCCCCCTGTGCACCTGTGACGACGCCATCGCGGGGTCCAGCTGACGGGGAGGCGATGGGGGCGGGGAAGGCTGCCTGGCAGGTGTGTGAGCGGCAGCCCGAGGCTGTGTTTTCCACTGTGCACACTTACGCCTCTGTTCATCCCGCAGACATCGTGCCTGTCCACCTGTGAGGAGTCACTCCACACCGTGGGACACACCGCAAACAAGCGAGACCACCTGCCCAGGGGATCTTACCTTCGGATGGCTGAGGAATTCAATTAGCAATTTAGAAAACCCAGACAGCCCTGGCCGGTTTGGCTCAGCAGTTAGAGTGTCAGCCCTCAGACCGGAGTCTCAGGTTCGATTCCAGCCAAGGGCACGTACCTCGGTTGGGTTCAGTCCCCAGCCTGGGTTGGGGTCGAGTGGGAGGCAACCAGTTGATGTGTTGCTTTCGCGTCAATGTTTCTTTCTCTCTGTGTGTCTCTCTCCCTCCCTCCCGCTCTGTCTGAAAAATATCCTCAGGTGAGGATTTAAAAACAAAAAAATAAAAAAAGCTTTAAAATGCCCAGATGGTGTGGCTCAGTGGTTGAGCGTTGACCCTGCACCAAGAGGTCGCCGGTTTGATTCCTGGTCAGGGCACATGCCCAGGTTGTGGGCCCGATCCCCAGTGGGGGGCGTGCAGGAGGCTGCCAGTCAATGTTCTCTCTCATTGATGTTTCTGTCTCTCTCTCCCTACCCCTTCCCTCGCTCTAAAATCAATAAAAAATTTTAAAATTTTAAAATAAAAGACCCAGACACAGATGAGTGTGCATTTTACACCTATGTGTGCATACACACGCACATTTTACATACATGTGAACGTTTACAGAAGCCCAACTTTCAGGTCCTGTGTCAGGGGAGGCTGATCGGAACGCAACCTCTGCATCAGGACCGGAAAGAGCAACGTGATGTTTCCGTAGCAGGAAGAACTGATTTCAGAATATGTTTGATTGAACAAGTGGCGCTCAGGCCGACCACAATCACTGGTAAAAACAGTCATGTAACGAGGCGAGGTTTTCTTCGTTCAGGCGCACAGTTTGAACAAGGAAATGCGCCCGTGGCGGTCTGCCTCGTACCCACCAACCAGAAGGCCCAGCCGCTGCGAGCACATCGAATCAGGGGCCTGTTTTTACCGAAGCTCACTCCGTGGTGCAACACCCGCCGACGGTCCGCACTCAAATTCACAAGGAAGTCAGTGAAATGTAGGCTCGGGGGACTCTCCAATCATCGTGCCATTTAAATATTGATTACGGAGGGAGAGCCGTGAGCACGTGAGCTGAGTTCTCCGGGAAGCATTAGGCAGCAGTAGCCAAGCCCTGCCCTCAGGGTGGGCCATCTGCAAAGGGTCCAGCCCAAGGAGACCGCCACCGAGAACACTCTTCGTCCAGCTAACCGCTGTACATTTCTCAGAACCTGAAAGGAAAATGCAGGACGAGTCTTTGTCCTCGAAGCCGTAGGTCTTGCGAGTGGCAGATATCCAGTAAATATTTGATGAGTCATAAGAGTCTGCCTCTGAAGGCAGAAAGCACCCCAGTGTCCATGGGCAGATGAAAGGATGGAGCCCACGTGACGTACACGGGAGGTCCTGACACCTGCGACACCAGATAAACCGCGAGGACGTCACACCAGCTGAAATAAGCCGGACATAAAGGACAGGCACCGTGCCGGTCCACTTGCTGGAGGTTCCTAGAGGAACCACAGGCCTCGAGACAGACAGTGGGGGGCTGCAGGGACCCGGAGGACGAACGGGAGCTGGTGTCGACTGGCACAGTCTCAGTTTTACGTGGCGAAGAGCTCTGGAGATGAATGGACTTCATGCCACTGAACTGTACACCCAAGATGGGTGAAAGGGTAAACCGCATCATGTCTACTTTAACACACGTTTCAAAAGAGGCGTGTATCTGAGACCCGTAATAAATCGGGCCCTGCCTCTAAGGGAATGGAACGAACCAGCACCGCGGTGAGAGGGAAGACGTGGGGGGGGACAGGGAAGAGAGTGGATAAAGCGAGAAGAAATAGTCTTCCAGAGGCAGAAAAGGGTTAACCAGAGAGCCAGAGGGGGCGCAGAGGGTCAGAGGCTGCAGCCAGCACCCGGCACCAAGTGGAAGAAATTCACTGGCGGCCTCTGGAGGGAGCGAAGAGCCCGCTGAGCCAGGGACAGAACCGGCCTCCCAGAAGGGGTGCAGGTCTTCCCTGCCCCGCCCTCCCTCCCCCAGCTGCCTCCAACTCCCCGCTGACCCCACTGTGGCCCTTCTCCCTGTTGGGGTGTGTGCTCCCCCGCAGACAGGCCACACCTCTGTACCCCAAATGGGCTGTGCAAGAACCGAGAGCTCGGTCAGTGTTTGCAGCAGGCTGCTGGCGGTCCCTGGGGTGACCGTGATGTCTGCACCCATGCAGAAGAGCTTGTACCAATCGATGCACGTCAAGCGTGGCTCCCTCTCCTATCCGCCGCCCAGGTGACAGGTGTAGTGACGAAGAGTGACCTGCCCTCAGGTCAGGAGAGAGGTGGCGGGGAAACACGGGAGAATCTTCAGAAACAAAGCTTTGCTGTCCCCTCCGCTGCTCCTGTGCCCATCCTGTGGAGTGGAGGGGAGAAGGGGTGTGCGGGCCTGTCGGGGGACCTGGGCTCCAGTCTCGGAGGAGGTGTGAAGGGACCCCACTGCTTGGAGGTCACCCCCGCCGCATTTCTCAGTCTGACGCACACAGCTCTCCTGCAGGAGAGTGTGCTGGGCCCGAGACTCTGCATTCCTTCTTTCTAAATGTATTTTTAACTAGTTGACACACCACATTATGTTAGTTTCTGGTGTGCACATTGTGCTGACATTTACATGCCTTACAGAGTGATCACCCATCTGTCACCCATGTTATTGACTGTTCCCTGTGCCGCACACTACATCCTGGGACTTCGTTTATGACCAGGAGGTGGCACTTCTCAATCCCCTCCCCCACTCCGCCCATCCCCCCACACCCCTCCCCCTCGAAGCCCCTGCCTCCTCGCTTCTGGTCCCTTCCAGCGGGAAGGCTGCTGCTGTCCTCAGGTGTCACCGTGGGCTTCTGGGATAAGACCTCGCCGGCCGGAAACGTCGCTCACGTCTTGAAGGTGTTGCGGTTTCTGATGCTGAGGAGACTCCACCTGGAACCTCAGCGTGCTCAGGACACGGCTCCAATCTCAGCACAGAAACAACACAGGGCCAGCCCAGTGTTCCGAGCTTCGCAACATATTTTTAAATCATTCACCTACTTGAGTCAAACAGTTACTTCTAAAACATCGTGTGCTGGCCCCTCTTCTCCTCCCCCTTCTCGGGAAAGGGAGACCTGGTGGGAGCCGAGAGGGAGGGGGTGCAGACCCCCTTGAGTGCGGAGCAGGGCCGTCTGCACCAGCCGGGCACAGAGGGGCCATTGTGAGGGGCTGGCCAGTCGTCCCCTCCACTGACTGGGTCCCCCTTTCGAATCCAGCTTCTCTTCAGTAAAAGATGCACTGTCACCCAATGAGGCTCCAGAGACAAGGATCTCTCCCATCCTGACCCCTCCCGTCCACCTCTCCTCCCTTCCCGATGCCTTTTTTGAAAGAACGGTCTGTCCTCCGCCTCCCCTCCCCCCTCCCCGGCTGCCCCTGTGCTCAATGAGGCTGCTCATCCCGCTGCCTCGGGCCAGCCCAGGGGTCACAGCTCAGTCCTTCCTGCCGCATGTGACATGGTGACCACCTGTTGTGGTCGAAATTGTTTTCCCCCAAAAACCATGTTGAAGTCCTAACTCCCAGTCCCTGGGGCTGTGACGTTATTTGGAAACAGGGTCTTGACAGGTGTAACTGGCTCAGGTGAGCCGTCAGCTCAGACCTCAGTCCAACGTGGCTCCTGGTGAAGATGGAGGTAACGGGAGCCGAGCCACGTCCGGGGTCCCAGGCGCCACCAGAAGCCAAGAGAGGGCCGAGAGCCTGCAGAGGGCCTGGCCGGCGACACCTTGTCTCTGGACTTCCGGCCCAGCGCTGAGAGGATCCAGTCTGTTGTTTCCCCCTCACTTGGCGGTGCTGGGCTACGGTGGCCCCAGGACACACACACCACCCGCTTCACACGCGTCCCGGGGCCGAGGAGGGCGGGCACGGCCTCTCCTCCTGCCCGCCCGGGCTGCGCCTGCCCTGGAGCCCGCCCTCGAAGCTCTCCCTGGGACCCTCGTTCATGCCCAAGGTTCTCGAGGCCCCTTTGAGCTCATGACCCCGACTTCGCATGTCCAGCCCAGACACCCTCCTGAGGGCCAGGCCCCTCCGGACACTAACTTCGAGCTACATCCTCCCACTCACCCGCTCCTGTCCCCGCCCTGACTTGTTGTGAACCAGGGGAGGCTGGTCAGGCTGTGGTGACAAGGACCCAGTGCTCAGGGCCTGAAGACGCAAGGTTCATTTCTTTCCAATCCTTCAGGTCTGTCCAAGGTCGGCGCAGCTGGGCTCCATGTGGGCCTCACTCCGGGGCCTGGGAGACGGACCCCGTGGTCAAGGGAAAGCAGCCCACACACCGGTTTGTAAATCATCTCTGGACTGACTTGGCCAGTGTGCTCAGTGGTTAGAGCACACACACACACACACCCCGCCCCCACCCAAGGGTCAAGGGTTTGATTTCCAGTTAAGGACACATACCTGGGCTGCAGGTTTGATCCCCAGCCCGACAGCGCGTGTGGGAGGCAACCAACTGATGTGTCTCCTTCACATCAACGTCTCTCTCTCACTCTCCTTCCCTCCCTTCTACTCTCTCTAAAACAACCAACGAGAAAAATATCCTCAGGTGAGCATGAACAAACAACAAAAGTAAATAAATGAATAAATAGATCATCCCTGGAGTGACTGCAGTCCCCTCCTCACAGTGTCCAGTCCACACCCAGTCCCAAGGGAGCAGAGTTGTGCCCCAAAGGTGACCACATGTATCTGGATGGCACTGAGCTCTGCCATTCCTGGTGAATTCAGCCCCCGCCAGGGATACGGGGACCAGGGGCTCTGCCGTCCCCAGACCTGTAGCTGTGCCCGGAGCCCTCTGGTCCCACCTCCTCCTCGTCTCACCCCGCCCTCCTGTGAGCCTGAGTCACACACCACCTCTCACCAGCACAAGATCTCCCCACCCGGAGAACCCACATCTGGCCCCGGCCGGTGTGCTCAGTGGTGGAGCGTCGACCCTGCACCAAGAGGTCACCGGTTCGATTCCTGGTCAGGACATATGCCCAGGTTGTGGGCCCGATGCCCAGTGGGGGGCATGCAGGAGGCGGCCAATCAATGTTCTCTCACGTCGATGTTTTTCTCTCTCTCTCTCTAAAATCAATTT